AAGCATGTAAATGTAATTCATCAGGAGCCTCCTGCAAAAAACAGGAAGAGACGGCAGGCCCTCTGATGATGTAAGCAAAGAGGATGGTGGTGTGAGACCTGGTGTGTGGTGCTGGCTTGCTGCAGGACAACTCTTGATTCCCTGGACGTGTGAGTAATGTAATTTCAGAATAATCTATCAAACAAGGTAAGTAGGAATCTAGGAACTTTACCTTATCTAGATAAAACCAAATGCCGTCTCTATTATAACTGTCCCTGTATGATAATAAAAAAAAATCAAGTCTAAGGAGCCCAGCGTCTTCCGCTGAAACTCTCCTTGTGCTGCTCTGCTTTCACACCAGCATCTTGAAACTCCATTTTCTGCTAGACAGGTTGTTCCTTCCTGATTGCGGGATCCCGCACATGCGCAGGCATGCCCCCGGTCTCTGGCAGTTATATAGGACCTGGCACAGCCCTGTGATATGTCTGTGCATGCATGAAATCACATGCATGCGCAAAAACATGCCACAGGAAACTACAAGCTCCTAAATACTGTATACTCCTTCCCTAAATGAAACACTATCCCTATTACATATTACCGGAAGCAGCAGGTAGATGATAGCAATGCAAAGAGGAACCTCACTCCCCCCTATACACTTTTTTTCTTTCCATTTCTTACATTTTCTGTTGTGTTGTCCTTGAAAAAAAAAACATCTTCTTTTCTGACACATTGGGAGCTGGCTGTTTCGTCTTGGTTCAGGCAGCTTCCCCTTGATGAAATGTCACCAGGCATGCCCTCCTCTGTTGTGTTAAAGCTGATATCTCCTGCGATATGAAATGTGCATATACCAGGAGGCTTTAGGAGTGGAGGAGACACCATTCTTGCCTAGACCAGAGTAGAGGCAGGGGGTGGGGTGAAGTCTAAAAGCTTAATTACAGGGAGCAGTAAGAATCATAGGGCTGAAAATCATGAGTACAGGTCAGCTTTAAGGGCTGGTTCACAGCAGCTTGCGCTCTCAATCTCATGCAGGCTGTTGTGCAATGCATAGGGGAGTGAAAAGCGCTGTTGGAGCACATCACAGTGTTTACTTTTTTCTTTCTCTTAAGGAGGACATATACTAATGTCCTCCCGTGACCCAAAACTCTGCTTATAGCGGGCTATTGCCCGCTATATGCTAACAGCACAGAGCCCCACTGCAGTCAGGACAAATCCTGAAGATATTGTCAGGATCCACCCCACTACCTGATTGACATCTGTCTCTCTAGAGCCAGAGGTGCCTGCCCCCTTGCCCTGTGTCCCTCCAGTCCGCTCTGGAGGAACAGAGAGGGGAGGAGGGAATCCCTGTGGGGAGCATTGACCACTATCTGCAGGGAGAAGACCGGGTACTAATAGGGCTATTCACAAAAGGGTGAAGAGTTAGGAGAAGTGAACAATCTAGGACAACATAGCTGAATTGGAAAGTGAGCTAAATTGGATACTTTTTCCAAATCTACTACTTTGGCCTGGATTGTTCACTTCTGCCTTCTCTAGACTCTTCACCCTTTTGTGAATAGCCCTGTAAGCGATGGGCGATCAATAGAGCTGACGTGTGACAGCTTCAGTGTCATGCGTTGGCTCTAATTATGGGGATGAGTGTATATCACTCTGCCCATAATTCTCCTTTAACTTTATTTAAGGTCCCAAACACTGACACTTCAGGACTGGTTCACACCCGGCCTGTTGGACAGCGTTGCCTAATGCAGGCAGAACACAAAGAAAAGGCGAAAGCCTTGCTTTGTACAGAGCCTGTTGATGCTGCATTGATGTGCATTATGATAAATTGATGCAGGCGGCATTGTATTGCTGCATGTTGCAACACACTGCTAATAAGAGACTCCAATAACAACTGCATCCTTTTATCACAACGCACATAAATGCACTATGCACTGCTTTTGCCTTTTTTTGCATTGTGTCTGCATTAGGTAATGCTACCCAACTTGCCTGATGTGAACCAACCCTCAATACGCTTTCTACTTTGTATTTTCACTCTTTAAAAGGGAACCAAACCAGCGACCAGCAGTAGTTCCGGGTCACCACGAGCTGCATACTTCAGGATTTTCGCTGTATGCAGAGGCCGTGTGATCAGCCTCACACTGCGCATGCTCGGAAGGGCTGGTTGCTGTTATCACGTGTCTAGGTGGTCAGACGACGATCTCGTCTTGCGCATGCGCCATGGTCCCTTTGCTTGCTGCTCCCGCGCATGCGCGCTGTGCCGCGTCTGGGAGGCTGCGGCTGACAAGGAGTTCGGCGGAACCAGAGGGCGGAGATCGGGCCCGAGTTATCCGTGTAAGCAAAAGGGGGAAATGGGAGTCAGGGGGAGCGGGGGTGTCCTATGTACTGTTCTGGGCCACACATTGTTGGTGCGATCAATGCTGTGAATACATTAATTGTCGTGTCATGGGGGTGTTGTGAAGGCTCAGTGTACATGTATATGTCTTCTCACTGTGTACTGGGATCAATCTGTGCAAGGTGCAGCGTGGCTGTGCTTGTGATATTTTTAGTAGGATTCTGATAGTCCTAGTAGTGTATGCACTAAAGATCTAATGTTAAATCCGAAGCGGGTCATACTATAGATGTAACCTGTAGTTTTATGGGGTTGTGCATGAAAGCTGAACTCCAGGCACAATCATATCATGTGAGTATATTCCTGAGGGGGGAATCAAAGAATGTAAATCCACTTTGTATTTAGCAAATGTCTTTGCAAACCCACATATCACCTTGTAAAGGTTGTGATGACAACATCACTGTGCTGCACAGAGAGCAGAGCTGTGGGCTTGGTCCAGTAGACCCCCACCCACTACAGGCTGCCTGCAGAAAACTATAGGAAGGGGTGGAGACCAGACCAATCAGCCTGCACAAGGACAGAGATCAGCAGTGACTGGTCTTTATTACAGGAAGCTCCTGTACAGAAACAAAGTTCACACTAGATTACTGCACAGATCTGGAAGAAATACACCAGGATTCAAGTAAGACTACAGATACCGCTTGTATTTGCTCATCCCGGAGTTTACCTGCAGTGGTCTGGGGATTCCTGCGCCAAGAACCTGTTCATTCTTGTGGCAGGAATTGCAGATGTGCCCGTACATATGCAACGGCCGTGCCCATTCAGATTAATGACAGGGTGACAGCAGCTACATCTGTCCACATGTATTGGTACATGGTATGTTTTCCTGCAGACAGATTATGTCCTGGGACAAGCATCTCCCCCGATCTGCAAGTAATTGTACCACATACGATTACATATGGACAGAAGCGGCCATTGTTACTCTGTCATTAAGCTGAATGAGCAGAATGGCTGCATCTAGGATTCCTGCAGCAAGAATCCCTAGATACCTCTGTGCATGAGGCTGTAGAGCAGGGGTGAGCAACTCCATCCCTCCAGAACTAGAACTATAAGTCCCATAAGGCATTGCAATACTCTTGACAGCCGCAGGTGTGACTCCCAGAGACAGATGCATGATGGGATTTGTGGTTTTACCACAGTTGGATGGCCGGAGTTGCCTACCCCTGCCATAGAAGCCGAATCTACTCAAAAAGGAAATTTTAGGTACAGGTTTAGCATGGGATGTGTCTTGGATTTTCCCAAAATGTTGGACCGCTCTGCCAATATATCTGACTTCGTCTTTGTCCCCCTGAGCGTTTTGGGTGTTGCTTGTAACCTTTGCTTCTCTCAGCACCTCCTGTTTAGTTCTATAGCAATAGAAACCCAGAAGAAAGAGCAGAGGCCCCTCATAAGGAGCTCAGCAGGTTAGGAAACCCAGGAACATAACCATGGAGATCTCATCAATAGCGTCCCAGAGAGATAAGAAACCTCCAGGTAGTCGGAGGGTGACCACACTTGTTACAATCTGGTCAAACCATTAACTTTAGATTTACCAAAACTATGTAATATGTAAATCCCTCATTTATCCAAACAGTTTGTATCCAGTCAGGCAGGTCCATAGTTATTGGTAGATAGAAATAAGATTGTACAATCGGATGGTAACGTGTGGTGAGCGTTAGGGCTCATTCATATGGCTAAATTACTCCTCTGGTTGCAGCAGCGCTCTGTGCCCTGACTGCATACAGGTGAGAGATTAGCGTGGCCAGAACCCCAAACTGTCTACATCCAGGGCCAGTGAGAGCTGCCAATTGTTTGTAATCACTTGCATGAGCGGTTACTTGTGAAGAATGGGGGCGCATTCATTTTTTAAAAGATATAGATATATATAATCTCTCTACCCCCCTCTCTTCCCGGGTTTTCTTTCCTGCTCTAGAATTGCTCTTCTCTGCTCATTTTTAATTTACTAAGTGTGGATGTACAGTGCTTTTTCTGCCATGCAGCAGCTTCGAGCATATACACTCTTTTTTCTTTTTGTATTTGCTGTATATGCACCTTGTAAAAGTGCACATAGTTTCCTTGTGTGTGTATAGCAATTTTACGTGAACATAAATAAGTTATGATGCATTCTCTGCAATTGCTTTAATAGCATGTGTTTCTCCTGTTAAAGTATTGATTTTATTCCTGCCAGCCTGTTGGTGGCAATAAGGTGCAGGTATTGTTCTGAGAAATATGGCTATGTGTTGCTATATTTGCTGTTAGGCTGGTTTCACACCATGTAAGTTGTGTTTAGCACACATTGGCATGCTGTTGAGTTGATGTGCATTGACATGAGTTTCTTAAATGCGGTGCATTGATATGCATTTTTTTTTTGAGTCACAGCTAGAGACAAAAATGTGTATTTTTCTTTCGTTAATGTGTGTTGCAGCAAGCTGTCATGCGGTGTAACAAATTGTATGGTGTTGTGCTGTGTTTAAATGCAGCATATTCCATTTCCATCCAGTGAACAAAGCATTTAAAGGAGAACTATGAGATGAGTGATTTCCACTCACCTCATAGTTCTAGCCGACCTGTAACAATGAGACTGTCACAGGTCGGAACAGTAGATCGGGAGGTGAGCGAACACATACCAGGTTCGCTCACCTCTCGATCCTGTCACTGCTCTCTGCCGTGACAGGGGAGGGCTGGGTTCCCCTCTCCCCGCTCCGATCTGCCAGCGCTGACTGGCGGAACGGACGGGGAAGTGGGCGGGTACAGCTGGCTCTGCCTCTAGATAGGCAGAGACAGCTGTCACTCACGCAGCTGGGCGGATCCCGTCATCTACGTCGGGATCCGCTCCGGCGTCTCAGTATACCGCAAGCTGTAGCTCGCGGTATACTGAGCTTAGGGTAACGGGAGGATGCTAGTTTGTGTCCTCCCGTTACCCTAAGGAGAACTATGGGGAAAAACACTGACCCCATAGTTCTCCTTTTAAGCTTTCCATAGTATTGGGCCTACATTGATAAATGCAGCCCAACGCACTTGGTGTGAATGGGCCCATCGTGATCTCATTAAGACAAAAACTGAGAAGTTAATAGAGAACTATGGGGTAACCTTTTTATCCCATAGTTCTCTTTAGGGTCACGGGAGGACATATAATAACATCCTCCCATGACCCAAAGCTCAGTATATCGCGAGCCATAGCTATATACTGATATTGCTGCTGCCATGACGGATCCTGACAATACTGTTGAGATCCACCCAGCTGGCTGATTGACAGTGGGCTCTGCTTATCAAGAGGCAGAGCCAGCTTTGCCTGCCCCCTCCCCATCTGTTCCTCCCAGTCAGCGCTGGAGAGAGGAGGCGGGGGGGGGGATCCCTGCGGGGAGCGGTGACTGACAGGCAGGGAGATGACAGTATGTGTTCGCTCAATTACTGATCAATATGAGTGTAAATTGCTCCCCTCATAGTTCTCCTTTTTATTATACAATCCAGGAGCCTGTCTCTCCAATCTTAGTAGCCAACAAGTATTTTGACTACTTGGCTAATGAAGTTTGTCAAGCCCTTGACTGAAGTAGACTTATTTTCTGAATGTGAACATACAACGTACCCTTGTCCAGAAAAAAGGACACATCTACTGTTCTCATGTGTCCCTTTATGGACCAGTGCTCAATGCATTGCCAACATGGTCTTGGCTATCTTCATGTGCAGCTGCCCTTTTAATAATTGGTCAAATGACTGGATATCAGGGATGCTCATATTTTTGTATGTAATTTTTGTAGCCTCTAATTAGTATTGTTTAAACCTAAATTGTCTGCTTTTGAAAAACTCTGCCACTTACCCCCCAGCCCACTTATACTCGTCCATACCCATATTCCTCTACTACTGCGTTGCTCCATCAGAGCCGGTGCAAATTAACCAGTGCTTCTGGTTAAGGCGGGCATGTGACCTCCACCCAAGATGCACGGATGGGTCTAGTGGACAATTACCAGGCTCAAACACTCGGGCGAAATACGAGCAGTATGTGGCTTCCCCATGCCCTTTCCAGACTGGTTCCTGAATGGGAGTGTCTGGGTTCATTATACCCACCTGGTGCACTTTCATTGTTATAATGAGGAACGTTGCAGTGCCTACATCCTTTTAGAAGTAGTTAACCTTAGGGAGTATCTCACCAAACATGACATTTCTATTGCAGACTTCTGGGAAAATCAGTGCGCCAGTGGTGCACAGAATTAGGGATGCACCGATATATCGGCCGATATATCGAAAGTGCAATTTTTCTGCCGATATAGCGGCACATCCCAGTTTTCTCTCCTCCCTGCTGGGCACTGCTCTATGTCCCAGCGGGGAGGAGAGAAACTGTCACAGGCGGGCAAACGCTGCGGGAGGTGAGCGGCCGGCGTCTCTTCTCCTCGCACTGCTCAGCCTCCTGTCACAGATCAGAGGAGAGGGGTGTGTGGGGACTGTCACAGGAGGCCGGCCGGCGGTGCGGGGGATGAGTCAGCTGTCAGATCGAGCTCTCCTCCCCACACCGCTCGCTCAGCCTCCTGTGACAGCTGTCAGGAAGGAGAGCAGGTACAAACACTCAGGGATCGCTGAGTGCTTGTAAATAATTGAGGACATGGTATGTTTACTATAGCCTCAATTATGAATGTATGGGAAGTGATCTACATCATCTCCTGTTCATTCATGATTGTCGATATAGTAAACACACTATATCCACATGCTCTAAATTAACAGGAACACTCAGTATAGAGGATTCCTGTTCATTTATAACAGGGGCTTCAGAAAAAGAGATTGAGGACTGTGTCCTCAATCTCTTTTTCTATGTTAAAAGGGAAATATCAGAGGTCTGCTTAGACCCCCAATATTTCCCCTAAGCCCCTAAAAATAAAGTAAAAAATATTTAATAAAACTAAATAAAATATTAAAAAAATGTAAAAGTTTATACAAAAAAAATATTGTAAAAATTTAGAAAAAAAAACAT